TCTTCCTGCTGCCCACCCACCTCACATACTTTAGCTTACAGCCCTTAGCCGACAAGACGGCTCAGCAGGTGAAGGCTCTGGCCATGCAAGACTGACAACCTAGAGCCCTTGTAAGGGCGGGAAGACGGAACTGACGCTATGAAGTTGTCCTCTGACCTCCACCCTTGTGACCCTATGCACCTGTGTCAGAATGCACACACCAATAAGATAAATAAGTAAAATAACGGGCAGTCCTGCTGAAGAAACAATGAAAATGAAGGAGGCAAGTTTTCCCTTCCCCACGCTGTGGCCAAGCGCAGTGCGGCAGCGGCTGTGGGTCACTCTGGGTACCTGGGTGATGTGGCTCTCCACTGTGGTCACAGGGCTCAAGGCGGTGCCTGGTGTCTCTGTGGCATTGATACAGGTGGTGATACCTGAACCTTGGGCAAGAGCCACCAGTGCGGGCAGGAGGCCACTGAGCCCCTCTCCTATAAAGAAGGTGGTGAGATAGAACGTGGGCAGCTGGCTCATGAAGGGTAGGAAGGTGACAGAGGAGGTGCAGTCCACCAGGGCCAGGAAGAAGGTGAGGACGATGAAGGCCACACTGTGCTGTCCACCCTGCATCCAGGAGGTCACGTTCCACAAGAAGGCCAAGAGGATGCAGGCAGCCATGCCTATGCACAGGATAAGGAAGATCACGGGCACCTCCGACAGGCAGCCGGGTTGGAAGCGATGCAACAGGGTCACTAGGAGGGGGCCTATGTTGGCCAGCTGGATGACCACAGTGAGGTAGGAGGGCAGGTCCCAGCCCTCGGGCAGCTCAGTCACCAGCAGAGGCAGCTCCACCCAGAGCCCGTTGATAGCCACCCAGGAGCCCATGCCAAAGGCGCAGACCAGCAGGTGTGTCAGGAAGGCCATCGTGGGCAGCCTGGGCCAGACGCTCGCTGTCCCGTCCTCCAGGTCAGGCTGCAAAAGGGCTTGTGGAGAGGGACACCTGGTGAGACAGTTCAAGTTTATCATCAACAAGCTGGATTTCGATCAGCAGAAAACATAATGCATTTGTTTACAGATAACCTGCAACTGGGCCAAGATTTCCTCAGCAGGACGCAGAAATCCTGGCACCACAAAAGAAAAACTTGATATATTTAACTTCAGACACGTTAAAACACACAAATGCGCTGGGCATTGGTGGCACACACCTTTAATCCCAGCACTCGGGAGGCAGAGGCAGGAGGATCTCTGTGAGTTCGAGGCCAGCCTGGTCTACAGAGTGAGTTCCAGGACAGCCTCCAGAGCTACATGGAGAAACCCTGCCTGGAAACAAACAAAAAAACAAACAAAACCAAAAACCACACACAAATGCAATAAACGCAAACAGGTAAACAAAATATTCCAGCAAAAAAACAAAACAAAACAAAACAAAAAAAACAAAAAAACTAACAGCAAGGTCAAAAGACAAATGGCAACCTGGAGGAGATATGGGCAAAACCGACAAAAGGCTTGTTTCTTTAACACACATAGTTTTTATAAACCAAGAACTGAAAATTCAAGAGAGGAATTTGCCAAGGACATAAACAGTTTAGGGGGAAAACACATAGACTGGGTTTTGACCTGTGGATGGGAAAACGACTCCAGGATGCCATTTCCATGCGAGTTGAAAAGTCAGCAGATGTGACATTTTTAGACAATCATAGCCAAGGAAGCTTACCCAGCCCACACTGCTGTCCTCGATGAGCAGGTTTGGAAGTGGCCTAAAAGTCCCCCGCACAAGGCCACCCAGCCAGCAAGTGGCATGTCCTTTGTGAGAGCTGAATCAGCCTAGCCAGCTCCTCCTTGGATAGAGGAAGGGGGGACCCCTTTCCCCCCACCATATGCCCTTAAACTGGTCCCATGCCAGTACTTACCCAGTTGGGTAGTCACAAGCACACTCCAAGCCTTAGTTTTCCTTTTTTTTTTTTTACTTTGAGAAAAAAAATCTGTTTAACCCAGGCTAGCCTAGAACTCTAGATCTTCTAGATCTTCCTGCTTTTATGTCACCTCACTCATGAATCCCTCTAGCAGTTTATATAGAATTGTTTTAGAGCTTTCTGGTAGCCCAGATTCTTCCTGACGCAACAAACAGCAAATGATACAGGGAACAGAGAGAGCCAGTCAGTAATTAAAGGAGGCAGTCTCCCTTCCAGGGCTGTCTCGTGAGAGTGCCTGCCTAGGGAGGTTAGTGGGTAGACAGGTGGGGCTCCATCAGGGTCTGCACCCCGCTTCCCCACTTTTTTTTTTTTTGGAAACAGGGTTTCTCTGTATTGTTTTGGAGGCTGTCCTGGAACTAGCTCGGTAGACCAGGCTGGCCTCGAACTCACAGAGATCCGCCTGCCTCTGCCTCCAGAGTGCTGGGATTAAAGGCGTGCGCCACCACCGCTCCGAAGACCCTGTAAGGAGCACGTACTGATGGCTGACAGCCAGGGCATGTTCCAGGCAGAGGGAACGGCGCACACGAAGGTCAGACTGTTTCTCTTGGAGCCGTGAACGTTCCGAGCGTGTGGAGATGCGTGTAAAAGACGAGATGGGGCGTAGCTCAGGCACATTTTACGTGGTCCCCCACCCTCCAGGAACACGTACATGCCAGGCAAGAGCTCTGTCACCAAGCCTACACAGCCTCTTGCCTTTACTTTCAATTTTGAGACAGGGTCTCACTGAGCTCCCAGGCTGACTGCGATCTCATTCTGCAGCCCAGACAGGTTTTAACTTTGGAATTCCCGTGCCTCAGCCTCCCTGGAAGCTGGGACTATATATAGCTCAGCCCTGTCTTTGGTGGCCCTGTGGCTCTGGTTCACTCGTGTGTAACCTGCCTTTATGGGGTGCCTACACCCAGCTGAACAATTGTCCTCTGCTCTTGTGAATGTGAATAAATCTGTCACCAAGAAAGCCAGAGAATCGAAACACAGAGCCGTCCAGGCAGCATGAAGTGCTACAGAGCCAGGAGAAGCTGGGAGGCAGGTGTGGGAGGGGTCTGGGGGAAACAGGTCCAGGGTGGAGCTGGCCAGCCAGTGCAAAGCCCTCTCCATGCTCAAAGATCAGCCTTGGGACGGCCGGGCGGTGGTGGCGCACGCCTTTAATCCCAGCACTCCAGAGGCAGGCGGATCTCTGTGAGTTCAAGACCAGCCTGGTAAACAGAGCAAGTTCCAGGACAGCCTCCAAAGCCAAAAAACGAAAAACCAAAAAAAAAAAAAAAAAAAAAAAAAAAAGATTAAGGGTATTAGAGAAGCAGAGGGGAGGGGACACTTCAAGGACTCTGTGGACGTCTCCTCAGGGCCCGCAGTCGCTCTAGGTAGAGGAAGACCGGTCCTGACTGGCTGAGGTGAGACAAGCGATGGGGAGCCATGAAGGAAGCAGGGCCCCATGTCTAGGTACTGGCATGGCTACTTGCTATCCACCTGTACCAAACCCCCTGGCTTCAAGGAGTGGTCAGAGGTGTATGGGACCGTGGAGCAGAGCAGGCCCCAGGAAGGAGTGAGAAGAGGTGGCCTGACATTTCAGGCTCTGGGGCCAGGAATCAGGAAGTGAGGAAGGGCTGAGGGGACCAGAAACACCGGCCTTAAGATAGAGCTGCTTCCTGGGATGCAGAGCCCAGAGACCCGACCAAGTCTCTGCCTGAGATGAGATCCAGAAACAAATGGGTGACCAGAGACATCAGAGGGAGACTTCAGGCCAGAGCGTCTCTGTCTCTGCCCCCCCTCTTGTGTGTGTGTTTTGCAGGGGTGAACCAGGGTCTTGTGCTAGGCAAGTGCATACCACCTTCTTTGTTACTTGTACATCAAACACTGAGTGTCAGCGGTTCCACACCCACATTGTGTGGTACCGGGCTACCTCCTCCCCCGAGTGGCGTGACCTTGCTTCTGGACTGTAACAATTCCCTGGCTTCTGTGCAAAGCCTCACATCTTGGGATGCTCAGAAACCAGCCAGCCACAGAGTCTATCTGTGCCTATCAGAGTTTTCCCACGGGAACTGGGGTATGTGTGGGGAGGTATTCTCTCCTCCCTGGAGGCAGCATCTGGCTTGCAAGGCACTGGGCCACCCTACACCCTGGCGCCATGGTTGGATGCTCACACTGCATAGACAGGCTGACAGTTGGTGGCCACCGAGCAGAGGGGGCCAGATCAGAGAGAGTTGGCGCTGGCCTGCTGGTGGCCCTGGGGACTGGGTAGGACCTGCCTGGCTTTGGGTAGGCAGAGCAGTGGACCAGAAAGCCAACCTAGGGAAGGCAGTGGGATATCGAGCAGGGTGTGAGGAGACATCGATGGTGGACAAGGTGTAGGGGTCCAAGAACCAACAGTTAAAGACACAGGAGTGGCCGGGCGTTGGTGGCGCACGCCTTTAATCCCAGCACTCGGGAGGAATAGGCAGGAGGATCTCTGAGTTCGAGACCAACCAGCCTGGTCTACCGAGCTAGTTCCAGGACAGCCTCCAAAACAATACAGAGAAACCCTGTCTCGAAAAAGCAGAAAACAAACAAAAAACAAAAAACAAAAAAATAAAAGAGGCGGCACAGGGGCAGCCGCTGGGTGGCCAGGAACCTGGTCCCTCTCACACCCAGTGGGAAAGTGGGGCAGGAATTTTCTCCTATGGCCTCCAACTCATGCCAACTAAGTTCCCCCTTGCAAAGACTTGGTTGGACAACCACACAGCCAGCAAACAGGTAGTGGCAGTGGCATTCTGCCCACTACGATCTCAGAGAGAGCTGTCTTGTCATCCAGGCCTGTGCTCCCTGGCGGTGTGACCTCGGGTCACTTGCTTGCTTTCTTTGAGCCTCCTGTGATCCCACCTGCGAAAGGACCTGGGTATGCCATGGCTTGGTGGCCCAGGTCTCAGGGAGGGAGGAGGTCTCATGGCTCCCTTCCTTCCTCCCCTCCTTGCGGGCCAGGAAGGGCATCCGGCCTCCCACACCAGTCCAACATTGGAGGGAGAGCCATCCGCAGACTGGTGGGACCTTGTGCGCCCCGGCCAGGTTGCTGAGGCTCGGCCGATGGATACAGGTGCTGCGCAGCAGCATCGCGGCCAAGCAGGCCAGGACTGGGAGCGTGGAGGAGGCTCAGAGTCCGCAGCCGCTCCGCCTATCCCTGCCACTCTCCTGGAAGGAACTAGGGTAAAGGTCACAGGCCACCCACTGTCCCCGGACGGACGCCCCCCTCCCGCTCGTGCTCCACCGCAACTCACCGACGGTCACGGAGGGTCTGCTTGCGCCGTGGCTTCTGGCGTCTGTGGCGGCACCTGTTTGTCTCCGCCCCGGTGGCGGGAAGGTGGGCGGGACCGAGGGGATGGCCCTGCAACAGTACTCAGGAGCCACTACCAACGGTCCCCGTGGGACCAGAGCCTTCTGCATCCCGCCCACTCCTCTCCTTCGGCTTGTTCCCTCCAGGAACAATCCAAGGTGGGGTAGGGTTTGTTGCAGCGAGACGTAACTAGCCATTGCTACTACAGGGATCTACTACAGGAGTTCCTCTGTACAGATGAGGAAACTGAGGCCCAGAGAAGTGGGGTCTTGAGTGGAGCAAAGCCTCCCTCTCCCTCATAACCTGGGTACCACTACCACACCCAAGACCCTTGTTGTGAAGGATGCTGGACTAGCTCCCATTCCTGACCCTTCTTCAGGTCTCAGAGTCTGTGGTACTTTGGGCTGGAATTTCTCCTGTTGGTGTGTCTCCTGCCCATATAGCCATCAGTGCACACGAAGAGTTTGGAAGGCGGAGGCAGAACACCCCCCCCCTCCACCAAGGCCAAGTGTTCTGGTCTCGGGGACACAGGCTTGCTCTGAAATGTGCTGGTCTCTGGAACACAGGCTGGCTCTGAAAAGGTTCTGCACCTGTCCTCCTGGGTCCAGTTGGGTTCCCTCTGTCCCAAATTCCCTCCTTGCCTGTGGCCAGCCTCTCACAGGTGTTCCACATGGTGTCGCTATTCTTTTTTTTTTTTTTTTTTTTTTTTTTTGGTTTTTACGAGACAGGGTTTCTCTGTATTGCTTTGGAGGCTGTCGATCCAGGGCAGCCTCGAACTCACAGAGATCCTGCCTCTGCCTCCCGAGTGGTGGGATTAAAGGCGTGCGCCACCACTGCCCGGCTTGGTGTCGCTCTTCTAATTAATCAGATATCAACCTTGAAGACTCCCTGCTGCTCACTCAATCCTCACAAGCCAAAGCTTTCCCAACAGGAAAGTTGCCTTGGCTATTTTCAGAAGTGCATACAGTACCTTGGAGCCACCATAGTAATCCAATCCTTCAGTTGAATATCCTTTCTGCCCATCACCAAACATGAATGTCAAATGTCACCTCCACTGAAGAGCTCTGTCTTCTCTGTAACAAGCCTCCCGCATGGGCTGTGTGAGTATAACTTTGCACTGCACACGTGAATGGACCCAGCCTGTGCGTCTGCCCTGACTTTCCTCTGTAGAAAGTCCTTTAGCTTTTGTTGTTTAAGATCCTTTAGTTTTTAATAGTTTTCCCAGCACTACGCCCTGCATTTTAGCGATGGGGATGGCCCCAGGGTTTAGTTAGGGACTTTGTCACTGAGCCGTGCCTCTAAGTCCTTTGAGAAACTTAAAGTTTACAGAAAGTTTAAGGTTTATTTGCACAGACTGTGGTGGGAAGTGGAGAGAACTCACAGTCTGTTTCTTTCTTTCTTTTGAAAGACATATACCCCAGACGGGCCTAAAATGCCACATCTGTCCAAAGATGGCCTTGAACTTCTGATCCTCCTGCCTCTACCCCCAAAGTCTAGGACTGCACCACTCCTAGTGTTGGGAGTCCACCCAAGGGCTTCGTGCATGCTAAGCAAGTGATTTACCAGTTGGGCTACATCCCCAACAACTCCTAAATATTGAAGCTGCCTCTTGTACTTAATGTCAGAGACCTTTCAAGCCCGGCAGCAGTGGTGCATGCCTTTAATCCCATCACTCGGGAGGCAGAGGCAAGCAGATCTCTCTGAGTTCAAAGCTAGCCTCGTGTACAAAGCAATTCCAGGACAGCCAGGACTACATTCATTATCAACTCCATTTAAACGCTAGCTGTAAGCCTGGCACCTTGGGAAGGACTTAGGATGTACAAGTGAATAGAGTTCAAAGTTCTGGCCCTTGGCAAACCGACCTTCTAGTAGAGATGAATGAGCCAGCAGCTTACTCCGCACCTTAGAACGTGGCTGTCAGGGGCGAGGCAGGTGGGCGGGGCGTCCTCTGGGAGGACAGTGGCTGGCAAGACTCAGGCTTGCCAGGGTGGGAAAGGGCTCCTGCCCGCAGCCCATCTCACTCCGGATTCCTTTTCGCCGCGTCTGTTTAGCCCCGCCAATTGCGGGTGCTCATTATTTGACAAGATCATGACAGCAAAGTTGGAACGGTCACACTGGCCTGTGATCTCAGTTCTCGGGAAGTTGAAGCAGAATCAAGAGTTCAAGGCCAGAGTGCACTGCAGAACAAGACCCTGCTATTAAACAAGACCCTGCCATCACGGTCTAAAAACAAAACTAGAGAGCCGTCGACATGACTAATCAGGTAAAAGCGCTTGCACCCAAGCCTGATGACCTGAGTTTGATCACTGGGACCTGTTTGATGGAAGGAGAAAACAGATTCCCGCAAATTGTCCTCTGACCTTCACACACCGGTGTTGCTTGTCTCTCCCAAACCCCCGCAAATAAATATAATAGAAAAAAACCCTGGTTCATTAAGAAACACAAAAGGACATCTCATTCATAACTGGTACCTGCAAACGTGTAGAGCCTCGGGTAACTCGAGGTGGCGCTCACGTTCCTTGGGGAGCCTCAAAGCCAGCCTCACAAGGACTGGTCTCTTGTGAGTCTGCCCAGGACTCACAAGAGGGTTTCCGTCGCGCCACAGGCGCAGCTTCCTGACCGCACCCTCGGGTGGGAAGGTACGGCGCGAAGGCGCCGCTGCAGTGCATGCGAGCAGCCGCCAGGGGGCGCAGGAGCCTGCGTCTTCCAGAAGGGCCTTAGCATTTCACAGCTAAGGGCTCTCCACCCCCACCCCACCCCACTCCCCAGCACTCCAGGGTGCGGCAGGTAGGACCTTAAAGCTAGTGTGAGAAGAATGCAGGAAGTCGAAGGCAAAAGGCGCGTGTAGCCAAAGCTCTGTGAGAGAAAAGGCATAGAGAAGGGCTGTAGAGACACTTCCAGGCCAGCCAAGGACTCATTTGCTCCCTCGCAGGGCGGCAGCACCCTGTAGTCCTTGTCAAAAGTACCTAACACCCAAGAACAGCACGGGGGCCCAGGGTTGAGCAGTAGATACACACCACGTCACTTGATTCTTTTGAAAACATTCTCTTTTGGGGGGGGGGGAGGGTTCGAGACAGGGTTTCTCTGTATTGTTTTGGAGGCTGTCCTGGAACTCGCTCTGTAGACCAGGCTGGCCTCGAACTCACTGAGATCCGCCTGCCCCTGCCTCCTGAGTGCTGGGATTAATGGCGTGCACCACCAACGCCCGGCTTGAGCCACCAACGCCCGGCTTGAAAACATTCTTTAGGGATGTATGTGAGTAATTTAGCACATGAAACCTATAAGAAACAATCCAGAAGATTGACAGTGGAGTGGGGGCGTTTGTGCAAGGGGGCAGAAAGGGGAGGCTAGAGTGGTCTAAGGGAACTTTAGCTTTAACGGATCTGTTTTAACCATCTGTGAATCTGTAAGCCTGTTGGCTGTTTAACCTAAAGTTATAATTGTCTCCCACTCCCCACCCCTGCCACCAGAGTTTCTCTGTGTAGCCCTGGCTGTCATGGAAATCTCTGTAGACCAGGCTGGCCTCTCACCCACAGAGATCCCCTGCCTCTGTCTCTGAGTGTTGGGATTAAAGGTGTGAATCATCACTGCCTGGCTATAGTACATTTTGTTGTTGTTTTGTTTTTCGAGACAGGGTTTCTCTGTATTGTTTTGGAGGCTGTCCTGAAATTCGCTCAGTAGACCAAGCTGGCCTTGAACTCGCAGAGATCCGTCTGCCTCTGCCTCCCGAGTGCTGGGATTTAAAGGTGTGCGCCACCACCACCTGGCTCTATAGCACTTTTTTAAAGGAAGAAAAATGGAGAATAAGTAACAAAAATATCGGGTGCTAACTTGTGCTGGCTCGCACTAGCTTTGAGGCCCCACCTACAGCACCTGGAGTGGTGGGAGGGGCCCTAACCTGTGAAATTCAAGTGAAGTCACAGCTCCCTCTGGTCTTGTGTGAAAACCCTGCAGCCCCGGGGCTAAATGTGGCAGGGGATCGTATCAACCCCGCCCAATACAAAACTGTGAGCTTATTTACATGATGAGATTTTAATTTTTTTGGTGACTCTATTGCGTAGTTCTCTAGCATGAACTTTGTAGATGACAATAGTATGTCTCAATGTCAAAAGTTGGACACTCCTGGTTTAGGCATGCAATGGGTTGGAGGTGAGGGAATCCCATACATACAGATCATAGATAATCTCCAACCAAGCCTGAGAAACGAGGTGGGGCAGAGAGCTCGCTCCCGGTGCGCAGGCAGGGATGGAAACCTGTGCACACCTCTGCCGCCCAATAAGAGGCTGGACTGTGGAAATAACATTCTCTCTGCTGAGACGATAGTCACCACTCACAGGGTGGGGCTGATGTGGGGTAATACATGGCGGGGTAGCACTAGGTAGTATCCCGGGTGGATGCTGTGCGTCACCGGAGCCAGGGGGAGGTGAGGGATCAAGAGCAAACCTCACCTTGATAGCTTGTACAGCAATTTGAGGGCTTTCCGTTTCAAGAAGTCGCCACCAGGAGGCGCCATCTGGAGGATGTGAAAGGCGGTGGAGCTGGGATGTGGGCGCTGTCTCCCTCTGAATTTCACTGTGTTCCCTGCAGGGCTCCCAAATGGACCTATGATCGTCCCTAAGGACTACGTGTCTCACTGACCCCTCTAGAGATCCCGTGGCTCCCACTGATCCCTCTAGAGATCCCGTGGCTCCCAGGATTCCGACATTCACAAACCTCGGCTGCCACCACTGGCTCAGTCTGTTGCATGGACTGCCTGAAATGCCCAAGGCTTCCTTTCACTGTCCTGCCCTCTCCTGCTTCTCTTCATACTCAGCCCTAGCGAGGCTTTTTGCCCATCCTTTCCCTGCACAATAACTCAACACCCTATCAGTAGGACTCACTTGTCCCCAGGAAGCTGGGTGACTTCCCGTCCCTCTCTGCCTCAGGCTCCACTCCGACTCCTTAATGGTCTCCTTGTAGTTTGCATACTATGACAAACTTACTCCCTGCCCATGGATCTTTGTATTCTCTGTTCCTCTCACATTGGCCCTGTCCTCAAGGCAACTACATGGCTTTTTCCTCAGTGTATTCAGGTCTATGATCACTCTTTTTTTTTTTTTTTGTTTTTTGTTTTACAAGACAGGGTTTCTCTGTATTGTTTTGGAGGCTGTCGGTCCAG